CCAGTTGGAATTTTAAAGGTGGATTTCCAACTCAGAAAGCCAGAGTAGCCCCACCAACTCTGATTTAATTATATATAATTATCCAAGATAGCAGTAGCACACGTAGCACTGGTAATTTGTACTGCCACAGCTGTGCATTTGTAACTAACTAAATAAGCCATTAGCAGAGCACTGGCCAGGCTCTACCCATGAACTTGCTGCTTTAAAAAAACAAAACAAAACTGAAAACCCGGCACTTGGGTGCACTGCTAATAATGCATGAACTGCACATGTACTTTGTGGTTTTTTGCAATAAGTACCAGGTTATCTGTATTCTGCATGAACAGCTACAGCCACCATGACTGAACAAGACAAATATAATTCCATGTTTGCAAAACAAAAGACACAAAGAAAAGGCAGCGAAAGAGAATAAAAGGAATAAAGGTACCTCTTCCAGCTGGCAGGCCTGAATAACAGAATTGTAGCGGTATTCATCATAAGTCAGGCCAAACAGGATGTTGTCACGAATCGTCCCTGGCATAATCCAAGAAGTCTGGGGTGAGAAGGAAATGCGACCACTGTGTCTAATTTTACCCTCTGTTGGCACCAGTTCTCCCAGAATCATCATGAGCAGGGAACTCTGGAGGAAACAGGAGAGCATGGTGACACTTTATTCTTCTTCATCTAACTGTGTTCTCAACTCAAGGAATATGGAGTGAGTCAGCATGTTTCTTTCATTGCTCAAGGGAAACTGGCATTTATTGCATGTAATTATTTATGAGCCAATATTGAGCTATTATGACAGTGAAGGTTGCAAATAAACTTGTCTTATTCATACAATTTGTTACATTATTGTTACATTATTCATTTACTATTGTTTCAAACGTGTGTTGCCAAGTTGCACAGTAGCTTCTTAAGGACAGATAGATTATGCACAAGAACACATCTAATACGGCTGGGGGGTGTTTCTTCCATCTCTTCTTTAATTTGCATTTATTGTCCATTAAATTAAAATTATTCACCAACATCAATATATTGACAAAAAGCTATATGTGTGCAGACAGACATATCAGTCAGACTCCAGTGACTCCCTAACCAGAATTTAATTTAATTGAAATCCTACCTTTCCTGAGCCAGTGGATCCAGCCACAGCGAGCATCTGGCCTTTGTCGAGGTGCAGGCTGATGTTTCTGAGCACAGGGGTGACATAGAGATTGGTGAAGAAGAGCCCGGGGTCACCGTTCAGGTGTCCATTTGCTTTGCTCTCCTGCTGGATCTTCTCAAACAACTCACCAATACGCTGTAAAGGAGTTCATAGGCAGTTACTAAACATGATATCTGTATGTGGCAAAACATTGTTTATCATTTACTTACTGCATATTAAGATTTCTTAAACAATTTAATACAAAAGAGTTCATTTTCTACACTTTAAAGTGACTTTCATAATCAAACATCTCCTTTTAATGTATTATAGTGAATCATGTGACACTTTCATTTACAAGACTCTGTGTACCTGCACGCGGCATGCATGTTTCTGTTTTTCATTTTGTTGATAAAACTGCTTGCTTCAAGGCTGAGTGACTGTGTCCATCATGCTGTGCTCTCAGGCAGCGACACTAGAATAAACTACTGCTTTGAAGATTAGGCTTAAAACTT